AATACTGACACAGATAGATAGATAGATAGATAGATAGATAATGAAAATACTGACATAGATAGATAGATAGATAGATAGATAGATAGATAGTGAAAATACTGACATAGATAGTGAAAATACTGACACAGATAGATAGATAGATAGATAGATAGATAGATAGATAGATAGTGAAAATACTGACATAGATAGATAGATAGATAGATAGATAGATAGATAGATAGATAGATAGATAGATATTGAAAATACTGACATAGACAGATAGATAGATAGATAGATAGATAGATAGATAGATAGATAGGAATGTACAATTTGATGGATGTCAATATTCTGATATATATATATATATATATATATATATATATAGAGAGAGAGAGAGAGAGAGAGAGAGAGAGAGAGAGGTAGATATTATTAGATAGTATGCACACAAGCACACACCAAAGCACATAACACACACGCACACTCACACAACAAACACACACACACACACACACACACACACATACATATATATTCCTTGACGAATGGCCTTCTTTTAATTGTTCAATAGATCGGGGCCGATTGATTTCAGATATACCCACAGAAAAAACAAAGTCTCATGGCTTGAAATCAGATGATCGGGCGGACCATAGCACTTTGTGTTACGGTTACCGATTCGTTGTTCTTGGTAAACGTTCCCACAATGAAAGCCCGATTGCTCATCCATTCATTTCATGTTGGAAACTGAAAACTTAAGGAAACAGAATGGAATTATATGTACATTTCGAAAATAAAAACACATTTTTTCGTTCTTTACTCCATTTCGGTTTTATTAAAATTAGAAATGTGTCTGATCCTTGCCCAACGGATGAAAACCTGATGAAACGTGATAACAAAAAGCGAGGACGAAAGTATACATAACTCATTATCCGAGAAATTCAGACAGAAACTATCCAAAATATGTCTCGGCTTTAAATGACCTTGAAAGGGTTGGTAAACCATAAAAAACAAATCAGGCATTTGATTTCTGTTACAATTCTCTAAAATATCTTCTCCTTTTAAAACCATCTTCAGAAACTGATAGTAAACATTCGACGTTTATTTATTGATTGATTTGTTTGTTTCACTGCGTATCAACTTCTTATGGCTAATTTAATGGCGAAATTTAATTTTCTTGCGTGCTTTGAAGTAAAAAATGTTTGTACAAATTCCTTTTTCGTAATTAAGTTTGTTATTATAGATCCAGTTTTCACCTGAGTAAAAAAAACTTTATGCACACATACACACACACACACACATATATATATATATATATATATATATGTGTGTGTGTGTGTGTGTGTGTGTGTGAAAGTGTATATAAATATAAATAAAATATATATGTATAATTATTTATATATTATATGCATGGTACTTATTAGAAAGCGCTCAATATCAGAGATAGAGCTAACATATTTGGTTGGATAGATCTATCCAACATATATATATATATATATATATATATATATATATATATACAGGGTGCGGAAAAATGATCTGACACATTTGTAGGTTTAATAAAAGCGAAATAAACTAAAAAACGGAAACAATGTGTTTTTATTTTCGAAATGCCCACATAATGCCATTTTGTTTCGTTTCATTTAAAAAATTAAATCTGTCTAGTTACTTTCCGCACACTGTAGAAAGTTCTTCTCGACGGGTAATTTCATGTGGAATGGCAGCAATTCCTTGACGAATGACATCTTTTAAATGTTCAATCGATCGAGGGCGATTGATTTCATGTATCCCCACAGAAAAAAATCGCATTGATTCAAACAAGGTGATTGTGCGGGCCAACGCTCTTTGTGTTACAGTTAGCGATTCATTGTTCTTGATAAACGTACCCACGATGAAAGCGCGATGCTCACCCATCCAATTCATTTTGGCAACTGAAAACGAAAGGAAACATTATGGCAGTTATATGGACATTTTGAAAATAAAGACACATTTGTCGTTCTTTGTTCAATTTCGCTTTTATTAAACCTACAAATGTGCCAGATCATTTTACCGCACCCTTGTATAAAGAAAATTTTGTACGTCTTAGGGTATATATGTGCAAGAGTTCGGATCGTAACCTAAACTAAAAACTAAGAAAGTGTTAATGCATATGTGTGTCTGTTTATATATATATATAGTCGACTCTCCCGTCGAGATTCGACGTATGAGGGTCAAGCAGATCAGTTTCCAGGAAACCAACAGCCCGACACCGGCACATGAGATATGATTATAGTGGTGAAGGCTTCGTGCAGGATCATCCACACATTTTTCCAGCTATGGATAAAATACCAGGACAGACTGGGTTCTGTAGCCTTGGCTGTTAACTGGTCTAGGAGAAGAACAACTCTGAATTCAAAACCTGCGGAGGGTCGTTTGGGAACCTTGTGGCACTTAGTGCACCAGGTTTTCTGTATTATATATATATATATATATATATATATATATATATATATATATATATATATATATATATATGGCGGCTCGGACT